CGCGGGACCTGGTGTCATAGGGCTAGGGTTAGAAACAACAGAAACATTACAAGTATCACGTTCACTTACCTCGGCCGTTTTTTGAATACCGGCAACAGCCACACGGGCTTGAAAATCTGATAAACGGTATACTGACAACAAATTCAAAAACGCTTTTTGAAATTCTGCTGTTCGTTGAGCCTTCGACCAGGTTTTCTGTGAATTGTCCATGGTGAATCGCGCAAAATAGAATTCTGATGCTATGGTTTCACGTCCCTCTTGACGGTGCTCCGTTAATGACTGTAGCCCCCTCCGGCCGTCGGGGTATTTAAGAGTTCGGGGGTTAATTGTTGCAACGTCTCTCCATTGTTCGACTAATTTGTGAGCGTTACGACCATTGACATCATTCAAGTTACTTGACTATACACGTCGATAATCCCTCCGGATGGGTGTACTTCTTACCCGTCTTGATTGGCCGATCTATCAATCCCTTTGTAGAAACATAAGCTCGTAAGCCTAGAACTCGTTTGTCAGACGTCCTCCTGGTACCAAGCGGCAACGCCCTTTTCCGTTGGTTTAAACAATGCACGATGTCTATCTTGGAACCGTATAGTATAGTTTTTTCTACGCAAAAATATCCATAAACATACGTCGTGACATTTTCGATCCACCCGATCTATATGTCACAAATTCACAGATGAGAACGAATAGTATATGATTAATATGATTAATATGTCACGCCAATCGCCTTTCGCGGTCTTGATTAAAACATATCCCGTCTAGCGCGATGATGCGATACGATGACACGTAGATTTTACTCGAATACCCGATGCCTGTTGTAGCAAGTTTTGCCAAACGTTATTCAGACGCTCCATCCCCATCATAAGAAAATGCTCAATGTCAAAGAGAGCCGAGCCACTAGAGACCACTTATAAGCGAAGTTCTCAAACTGTCGAAAGTTGCGTTTAACCACTCTCTATCAAAGCGGGACTGCACTACTTGTAGCTACTTGCGCCACCACATATAGCAAAAAATGCCTAAGCGGTGCATGTTGGTCCCCCATGATCCCCTTTTTCTTATGCTAATTGAGAGCTGATTGGATAATATAACCACTTGTCAGTGACCACACAGGGAGGTATAATACATCCTGGCCAAACTAGTGCAGATAGGCTTTAAATCAACAAATTAAATACTTTCATACCGTTGTCGTCGTCAGAGGGTTTACGCTTCGATGTTTTGTTCACGAGGGGCCTTAACGGCTTGATAATACTTAGGTCGAAACCCCATTGCGCCAACGATGATTGTTCATGAGACATAGCCATAATTTTGACGATGATGATATCCCCCCCCCCCCCCTTGAATGCTATGTACGCCTTTAAACACCCGTCAAAGATTCAACTAACCAACTAACAAAGGCAATGCTATTAGTGATACCGGACTCTGTAGCCTGATATGGGGTATCAGATTGGAGAGTCCGGTTGCGCCCTAATCCCATCCAGCATTACTAGATGTACTAAACGTTTGTTCAAAACAATTCGTTAGACCCTATTATATCCCTATACAATACAATTTATCGAAGTTTTTTTTTCTTTTGAAGTTGCCTGTGTGTGTTTAATTACCCCGTCATATATATCCGGCTAATTGAATCTAATTTCTGTGGTGCGATGGTACACGCCCTATCTAGTCACGACCTCTTGTTCACGAGGCTAGTTCGAAAAAAAAAAATTCTCTCGCCCAATCAACCCCCTGATTCTTTTATTCCATTTCTCTCGTCTCATTTCAACGTCTCGTCTTCATTCCGTTCGAACCCTTTCACTATCTCTTTCACTTTTCTATCCGCCTTTCTCTCTCTCTCCCTCTCTCTCTCTCTCTCTATATACCTCTATCTCTCGTTCTACCCTCGCGTCTTATTCCGTTACATGTATTTCTTTCTCGATTCTCACGTTTTACTTGTATCAGTCAGAAGACGCTAACGCTATACGCATTACGTATGAAAACACTCGTTGCAAGACAAACACAAAGACTAAGCAATGTCGATGTATATGATGAAACTTTTTGTTTTTAATTCAACAAAACAATTCGTTTCATTCCGTCATGTGTATTAGTAGGTAGAGCACCCCCAAAATAACAATACATCACACATGGTTAATATTGATTTTGTATGAAAGATCTCATTGAATGCTTTATTTTGCTACTAAAAAATCAAAATCGGGTAAGCGGGTCATATACAGTCATATACATTTTGTTAATGATCAGTAAGCTCGAGGGGACTTGCGGATTTAAAGTCCTGCCCGTAGGACTACTGTTATAGAACCAATGTCATACTCGAGGTAATTGTTGCACTATTGAACTTAGTCCCTTTTCTGGGGTTACACAATTTCCAAGAGGCCAGCACCGTAACTTTAATCGCTGTACTACGTCAACTACCACATATTCTTTTCATCTCAAGGTAAAATTGAAGTATAAATCGTCCACAGACCTGTAAACCAGGGAAAAAACATATCTCTTCCCTTTTCCCTACAGACGGATAGACAGATAATGAACGCCAATGAACAAGACAAAATTAGATTACTAAGCTGTATTCCGTAAAGGGACCGTCCACATTATACTTTAGTCGGGTCCATTGCTTCGCTCTCCTCGCATTTGATCGCATGTGACGGCACGAAAAAACCGGACCACTTCTCTCGGGATATCAATGGAATATGTTTAAGAAAATAAGGGGAATTAGGGCCGCCATGAAGTCGTATCATGAAACTTAGCCCAAGATAAATTCAAGCCTCCTTCACTTCTCATTTTCAAGAAAAACAGGCCAAAATTTCCATGGGGATACAACAGGATTAGCAAATTTTCGAGCGCAGTTTCAGGCCAATTGCTCGCTCTCGTTTGCGCGCCGTTCGACTTTGGGGATTCGGGATCCGGAATTGCGATCGGCGATTCATCTGCAAATGTTAAGATGGCAAATCCGCACTAATCTTTATGTTCGGAATTGCATTTTTGGTATTGTTTGTTTATGAAGCTAATGGAGAGGGAAAACCCGTTCAAGCTGATTTTGTCCCATGGAGATTGAGGGGAAATGTCGAGAGCGAGGCGAGTATTTCGCTGACGAGAAGGTTGACTGATAATAATTGATGAGGGATTAAAGAGAATTATGAAATAAAAATAAGCAATGACTTTGATTAATAGCGACTGGTTGATCCCACCAAATTTCGACTTACGGGAGTCGGGATCACCATTATTCATATATATGATATTCAAAATGGCTAACTTGGTAATCCGTTAAAAGCAGACAATTCGGTTACTCGAATATATGGATAGTGGTTATCACTGTTCATGGATGCATGTTGGGGAAAAATGGGGGAAATGTTTTATACTTAGCAAATATCATGACTAAAGGAGTTAAGACAAAAATGAATGCATGCATGCATACATGCATGACAAACAAAAAGAACTGCATGAATACATAAATAATTCATACCCCCCTCTCTCTCTCTCTCTTTCTCTCTCTTTCTCTCTCTTTCAGTATCTCTCTCTATATCTCTCTCTTTATCTCTTTTTTTCCTCCTGCGTTCTTCATGTATACTGATTATCACTTTTATTTCAGCTTTCAGAGCTTCTCATTTGTGTTTGCCTTCACTCATTTTCCAAGGGAATCTATAGATGAATATTTAATAAGTTAGTAAGTGGGGTAGTTAGTTAATAAGATAGTTAGTTAATTAGTTGGATAGTTATATAGATAGATAGATAGATAGATAGATGGATGGATGGATAGACAGTCTACAATTGGTCAAATTCAAAAGAAAACACCGCCCACGAAAATAGATCAATCGATTTATATGTAGATAACATAGATAGATAGATTGATTGATACAGATTTTAGGCTAGTTGGATTTAGGTCTGCTGATAGGTAAATAATGATGGACGAATAAGAAGAATAAGAAACAAACAAAACTAAAATGTATTGGTTGATGGATAGGTTACAGAGGGTGATGCATTGGTACAGCGTACTAGAAGATTTATTGCAAGATGGATGACTTTGATCTGACCTTGTACTACCTATTGGAGTATTATGGCTTTATCGGATTGTTATCAATGCAGTAGAAGTTGTATTGTACTCTTGTCGAATTATGGAATGTGCATCCAGATACCTATAATCTAGAGAATTCTTAAGAAAAAGATAACCTATCAAATCGGAGAGTACATTTGAACAAGATTATACACTGCAATGTTTGCATGAGGGAATTCGCATCATTGAAGCAAAGAAGTCAGAGATAATGAATAAAGGAAAAAAGTGTGGAAGAAAAAAAAAGTAAAGCAAAGCGTTAATATCCCATAATAAGTTCACATCTACTACTGAATTATCGTAAGCATCCATGTGAACTTTAGAGAATGTACAGAATTTGAGTCAACTTGTACGCCCCTTCTTCCTCGATGTAGCGTCGTTTTCACGCACTGCGTCCACCTAGTACAGACTGATGACCCTTACTCCCTACCGCCTCACTTGCAAACTTGTGTCCGCCACGCTTACATCCGTGCCCCTCCTACGACAAGACCTATGCTATTTCACTGGTCCTTATTATACTGTTACAATGTTTGGACCATCTGGACAGAGATAGGAACTTAAAACCAGACAACCTGCGATTTTCGCGACATTGCAACAAATATTAGACTTAATCCTGCCTCGATATGACTGTCTCGGAGACTATTGATTTATTTCGATAGTTCTCGCGTTCGCGATTGACGTGGCTTCTGGCCTCGTTGTCGCTTAGAAGAGGCATAAACTGAAGCTGTCCCTTTATTCAAACTAGGCTCCATTGTTTTCGGCCTAGAATCACGGTTTTGAAACACATCTAGTTCAAAACAAGGATGCGTTCACATAATATGTCGAATGATTGCCGATTTCAAACACAGAAAAGGGTGTGTTAATCACATTTGAATGATCCAGAACCTCGGTTTTCTGAAAAACTCAATTATGATTGAATGACGTCACAAATTCGTATTAGTACATGCCGGTGAGAGGGAAAAAGAGCTCTTCTAGGATGTGATTTAAAGGGATTTAAATGAAATGACCTGAACTCACTTAATCTTTCATATTTCTTTACTTACTCTCTGCAGATTTTTCTTGTGACCGGTGTCCTTGGTATAAAATCAGCCAAGCAAAGGAAAAAAGTCGTAAGTAATTCGAATATTGGTCTCATACTTTCGTTGCGTCAGTAGTCAGAACAAATGTTAATGTTGAATTTGTTTATGATTTATTTGCTACTGATTTATTAAGGGCAGTCCGTAGGACATTGATATCTCATGAATGATATTGTTTTTGAATTTAAATTTAAACGTGAGGTTATATAATGCTTGCAGATACTGAACAAATAATAAATGGAATTCCCGAACAACAACTTATCCATTGAATGGGAACGCATGTATATTCGCAGACATAATAGTTGTGACCTATATTTTCATTTTGTAGCAACTAAAACTATCATTGATTTCAAATCAGAGCAACGGGAAAAACATAATTTCTGTTTGCCACATTCGTGCTCTCACCACTAATGTGTATGACCTTTAGCCTCGGTCCGCTCACCCTAATTTATATTTGAATGTCCTGGTTTGTGAAGCGCCGCGAAAAGACATAATGTAATGTGGGAAATAATAATATTCCAATGGATTTTATGAACCAGATGGACCCTTTAAATAGACGAACGGTGAAAGATGAGATTAATCGGGCAGCTTATACAATCCAACATTACCACCGAGAGGTCAAAGCCATTAACTCATGGAGCTCAAAAAAAGTTTTCCCCTTTACAGTCATTTAGGATGTAACAGAGCCATCTATAAACAGAGTTTGGCCAACCCGGTTCGCGACTACTGCTTTGTTTGGCAAGCACAAAATAATATACGCCATGTTGTGACCCAGTGAAACCAAGTTGGCCAAACTTTGTATATGGATGGCTCTGGGATGTAAGCCTACGTGTCGCCACCTTAAGGAGATTGGTCAGCTAAAACAAATACAAAAGGAGGTTAGCCTTACCAGTGGAGATGTGGTCATGATCTAGTGGATGAAGGGGTTAGCGGTTCGAGTCCCAGCCGCAGCACCAAATATCCTTTGGCAAGACATGAATCTACGTTTGCCGCACTAAACCCAGATGTGGTAATAGACCATTTTCGTAATGAAACCAACTCTAATGCATATGGCTTTGTGAAGTGCCTCGATACGAATCATTTCATTCATCTGTTATAATAATTTGAATTAAATATTCAGAATGCTAGCTGAATATACTAGATTGTGTCAGGTGGGACAAACACTATGAATATGACTGACAAAGAAAGCGGACAAAATATACAGTTCCTCAGGTAGACAAAGGAACATCCCTTCACTGCTATTATGTAAAAATGTGTAGAACAGGTGTCACATGCATATTTACCTTTTTACATAATAGCAGTGAAGGGATGTTCCTTTGTCTACCTGAGGAACTGTATATTTTGTCCGCTTTCTTTGTCCTGATCTTCATAGTGCGTTATGGGTGCCATACCTAACAACACGTAATATATGCATTTCGCATTCCATTGAATCGCAATTATTCATTACAATTATTCATTGCAAGTGAACAAAATATTTGTATTGAAGCACTTCACAACGACGTATGCATTAGATTTGGTTACATTACGAAAATGGTCTATTGGCTACCTCATAGTATTTTCTTGAATACTTTGAGTGCCCAGGGAGGCTTAGCTAGAGCCGGGTTAATGTCATATTAAGAAGGCTCCTTGAAGAGTCTCTTGGATGGACAGGCCTACACTCTAAGAACTGAAATGTCAAATCACCATTTAAAAAGTGCTCAGGAGTAGCAACGTTTTCAAACGTCGTATTTCTACTGTTTTCCACATTATACGGTTTAAGCATCACTCGTCGGCCTCTTTTCAAATGATGATTTTACATTTGAGCTTTTAGAATTTATTAGGGCGCGATAACGATTAACCATTATTATGATAATCATCATAATGTTCGAGGTGTTGTGGTCGAGTAAATATTTCACCAGACTGTGGATCACAAGGTCCGCGGTTCGAGTCCCGCAGCGACACTAATGTACTTTTGCAAGACATTTGCCACACTCGACCCAGGTGAGGTAAATGGGTACATGTCAGGAATTTGCTAGAGCACCGTCATAATTTCCAAATTTGGAAAGCGCATAGAGACGTTTAAATATATGCAGCCATACAAGAACCGATTATTATCATTAGTATTATTATGTTTTATATTAGTATCATTAGGCCTTAATGATAATCAGTAAACTATACTCTTCACTTCTCATTGTAGATATTGACATACATGGCGATGTGTATTCTGAGTGCCGTGGTAGCAGGTTTCGGGTTCATGTACCGCATGAGCTATGCCATCTGCCAGAGTTGGGCGTGTCACCACCCCAGGGTGTTCACCGCGAGACCGGTGAATGAGCCCTTCCTCGTAACCATGGTCAAAGGAGATCCCTATGGTTTTACCAAAAACTGCGTGAGTATACATTCAAACCTAGCTATTACCCCTTCCCATTCCTCTTTCCCATCTCCCTTCGTCTCCCTTTGAGGTCTCGGTGTATAAAATTAATATACTTTTATTCTCTTTAAAAAAACATTTTTGTTGCTTTCATTAGTATTTAATAATAATATTTAGTACTTAGAATGTTAAGTATGTTTTGTGTTGAATCACTTACAGAATATAATGTGAATTGAATGTTATAGGTATGACAACCTCTCAATCATTTGGCTTATATTAGGGACTTTTAGATTCGCACGAGGACGATGGTGATTGCTACGATCGACGTCCTTTTAATGCACTGCCTTGAATGGACGTCACACGTATCAGTCCACGCAAATCTAAAAGTCCCTATTGCCAAACCTCGGCCTGTTTCTCCATGCAGTATTACTGTAAAATGTATTTTGAATCCAATTTCTTTTAAAATTCTCATGTTGATCTTGTAATTTCTAGAACCACGCAAAAATAAATACGTAAAAAATGCTTTTCCCCTCCCCTCCCTTCCCCCTCCCTCCATCCATCTATCTATCGATCTCTGTATGTAAATATCTGAACATCTATCTATTTCCACACACTCTTTCTACGGTATCTTATTAGCAACAGACATATGGAATTTTACAAAGAACTTTAAAGGTAAAGACCAGTATTGGAAACGCCCCAATTTCAAAAAATGAAATGGAAGCTCTCATTACCAATCATGTGAAAGAATATGTTTTGACTAATACATGATGATAAAAAATTTGCCGGGAAACCGCCTACTAATTCATATATTTGGTAAATTTGTTTCTCTCATGGTCTGTGAGAGATATAGGGTAGTCCCATATACATCTTTCTGTGTATAGTGCTTGTAACTTTACGAAGAATGGGCAACATTTCTTATCATTTTGATGATTCCAGAACCTTGCAGATGCTAGAGGCTAGATGATCAACCTTTTCTGATCGATTCCACAACGTTTCTTTCACAATGCAATCGCATGACCATAACTGGTCTTTACCTTTAATAGTTCCTCACTCCCCCGCAGGCTTTTTTTTTTTAGCTAAGTGGTAAAGTTTTTGCACCAAATTTCCTTCTTCACCGAATCCTTCTCATATACAATCAATAATAAAAGTTGAAGTAAAATGACGCCATCATCTCATATTTTCTATTCTCTTTGAAGACAACATCAATTATTGTCAACAGCATTATCTCCACCGTCTTCTTCTTCCATTTTGTTGCTGCCATCTTGGGGTCGGTGGCTGCATGCTGTGGTGGAGTTTGCTGCAACAAACCACAAGTATTCGTTCCCAAGTCGATTCTTCTCGCAGAACAAGAAGTAAGTTTTAAAGCATAAAACCATGTATTCGTTCGAGAATAATTAGGTGGCCGTGAAAAGGGCCCACTCGTGCTCTCATCAGGGCTACAGTACCTAACAAATATTCTCGAAAAAACGCCCTGTTGTGTCCGATATTCTTGCCATACATGTGCCGTCTCGTATTAAACAGATATTAGACCCGTTGATCAGGAGGCATCATTTCCATACAAGCGGCAATAAAACCTTTGGCAGTAACTGACATAATTAGTGCATTGATAGACCAAATGTGTCAATGAATTGCATGTATTTTAGATTCTGCATTTTCACCTATGTGCGATATCACTCTGACTCATACGGTGCGTCAAAGGGCGTTCCAGTCGCTGACGCAGTACTACGTCAGCCTAATGACGCCTTGGGTGCAATGGGCAATAGCGTCTTCCAACTTTTGTCCATGTCGTGAGGTGAATTCCGCCTCATTAATGTACCTTCACTTATGTTTTTTTTTTTTGGAGGGATTGGGTATCTTTGCCTCAGATTCTGAAACAAAATCCTGGATTTAGCTAATGCTGCAATGATTATAAACAATGATTATAAATGACTTTTAAAAGCCCGTCGCCTGTCTGATTATCAAGATATTTATGATTGGAAATCGAAATCAAATTTTCCGTTTTCCTACGCTTTTATAACACTATAATCTATCGGGGAAAATGAGTATGGTAAAACCGCTTTACTTTTTTGAGGCAATTCGTGATCATTTTGAAGCGCAAATTTCTTAGGGCTTCAATATTACTCTACATCACAGACACTGATAACACGTAGGGCCATGATTCTCAGATTTAACATTGTTAAACGATGCCTTTAAGACATCTACCTGCTCTGCGGTATTGCCCCTCCACACGTCAGAAGGTTGGTCTTGTCCCAGAAAGAAAAGGACAAACAAGAAAACAATCCACTCCACCCACTCTTCGAACAACAGCCAGTGGGCAAGCGGCTCAAATCCAGACACAGCTTTCTGCACTCTGTAGAGCCTCTTAATACTAGCCCTCACAGCCAAAGGATGACTTTGTGGTCTAACCACCTTCAGACCACTCCATATAAACTCTCCCTCAGCCCGAAGGAATCCCTCGCAACCGGCTCCAGTGAGACTTGGCCTACCTGGCTTAGCCTCAACCGCCTAAGACTTACTAAGACCTAAGAACTGGCTACGGTCGATGCAGAGTCCTAATGCAGAGGTGGGGTCTAGGAGACGAACAGACGACATGTGAATGCGGCCAGGAACAGACAATGGAACACCTGCTAGTCTGCCCACTCCTGCCAGAGCCATGCAACCAAGATGACCTGGAAGCCGTGAATTGCCGTGCCAAAGCCAGTGAGGACCACTGGACGGGACTTGTGTAGTGACTCGATAAGAAGAAGAGGGACTGGATGTGGAAATGGAAACGAGATAATAGTCGATCAGTGCAGACACGGGAGCCCCTTTCACATCAAGGAGAACAGAAAATTATTTGTAATGTGAACGTGCCAAAGAAATAGTTTTAAATCAATGCAAATCAAGGATTTATAAAGACGTTGTCTAGGAACGCAACAAGAATATTTCAATGTGAAAGTTCCACGAGACTGATAGTCATCAATTAACGTGGTTTAGAAATTTCCCAGACCTACCCATTCACAACAGGGAGGACTAAGGGGAAATTCGTAATGTGAAAGAGGTGAAGAGAGAGTATTTAATCAATGAATACAGTCATATGGTACCTTATTCAAAGCCGGTAGGACAGAGGGGAAATGCGTAATGTGAAAAGGCCGACGAGAGAGAGTATTAAATCAACGAATACAGACTAGGGTACCCCGTTCACAACAGGGAGGACAGATGAGGAAGTCGTAATGTGAAAGTGTCGAAGAGAGAGTAATTAATCAATGAATACAGGCTAGGGTGCCTTACTTACAGCCGGTAGGACATAAGGGGAAAGTCGTAATGTGAAAGCGCCGAAGAGAGATTAGCTAATCGACAGGCTATATAGGGTAACATTCACACCAGGAAGGATAAAGGAACAAGTTTTGATGTGAAGTTCCTAAGAGATAGTATAGTTAATCAATGCAGACCCACGCTCTTGACCTGGAGGCTGGTGAACTCTCAGGCAAGCTGGACTGAAATCTAAGACGGCATATTGGGGCTCAGACTTCTCCCCTCAACATCGATCTGACTATATATTATCACACCAAGCATGACAAACATCATGGATCGCCCCGTGAGGGAAATTGTTTTACATCCGCGAACATACAACGGTAGAATGACGTTGTCAAAACGTCCAAGCTTTAGGTAAAACGTTTGAGAACTACTTTCGTATTGTTTTGATGAGTGATGGTTCTACCCTTGCTTCTTAGAACACTTCTTCTTTTTTCAAATGTTTCTTTCCCATGAAATATTTATAGTCTTTCTCAAGAATTAGGTCTCTGTAGCCTCTAATCTTCTTTTAAGCTTGATGTTTATTGTCCAAAACTCACATCCATAGAGAAGAACTGACCGGATATATGGTTTTCATAGTAATGTTCTTATTTTGCATTACGGATTTCATTTTATTGAATGCATTCTTTGCCATTCCAATTATTTTCTTTATTTCATGAATATTTTTTTTATTTCCCTTAATTATTCATAAAATAGGATGCAGAATCTGAAAGGAGTTACATAGGAGCTTACAACATTCATAATCCTTTCTAACAACGTCACAAATTTCCAACAACCTTTCACTTCCACAACGTCAAGTGTGTTTTTTGACAAGTCTCATGTTGATGTGTAACTTAAACTGTAAAACGTCATACTGTAGAAGAAGAAAAAGTAGTAGTAGTGGAAAGCTGAGACGATACGGACCTATAGACCCTTACCAGTGGCGTACGCAGGATTTTTTCAAGGGGGGGGGGGGGGGTAAGAACACATTTTTTTTTTTTTTTTTTTTGTCCCAAATTTTTGCAAAAACTCAGGGGGGGGGGTAAGGTCGGTTTTGGGGGGTCACCCTTTGGTACAACAAATGTTTTTTTAAAGGGGGGGTTTCATCAAAAGTCACACCCATAACAAAATTAGAGGGGGGTTCAACCCCCCCCCCCCCCACCCCCCTGCGTACGCGTCTGTCCCTTACGTAAATATAATTATGTAGGCGTTGGAAAGCAAGAATCTCAACAGTTTGAGGACAGCAATTTCAAGGAGAGTTGTTGTACGTGCTTCAAGTGGGGAAGATGGAAATTCGACACCCCCTTTAATAACTTCTCCCGGCATAATTATGTATAATTGCGGTCGGAAATATGAAAAGATTTGGGGATCCTTTTAAGATAAATAATAATAATAATAATCCGGTTTTTTTTATATAGCGCTCAATACACCGATCCAACGATGTACCTAAGCGCTTTACAGATATATCAAAGGGTGGGGATGGGGCTGCAGCCCCCCGCCCCCCCTTCCCCCTCTCCGATAACTAGAAATTGCCAATATTCGGGCAGCCGTCACTTCAGTTAGATTTGGTATATGTAAATTTGATATCCTATAATGCTTGGTGGAGTATTTCAGGGGGGGGGGGTATGTTAGCATTCATATCCCCAGTCATCGCTCAGCAAGGTCTTTCTCCAACAATAATGGTAGTGCGATCATGACTTTCTTATCACAAGATCGCATTAGAATGTCTACGTTCCAATGTTGGTGACTCCACAATAATGTTCACCACTTTGCACATCATCGAAGTCAAAGAAAATCAGAATCGCGAATTTTCTTTTCCAACTCCTGATGACTCACGCTCCGAACATAAGAGGTTCATCGTTTGAAATATTGATTGGATTCGATTGGATGAGCTAGGAGTGCACGTGACATGCCAACCATGTGACACTGTGACGCCGCCATGCACTCGGGGCTTAGAAGTTCTATTTATATTGTACACATTCGTGACATAATAGAAATGGCGTCTTTCCAATAGATATATAGATAAACTGGGATTGTCATGATTATGCTGGAAGAGTTCATTTTCATGCTTTATATATATATATATATATATATATATCTTAGGTCATAAGACACGAAGAATTTAATTATAATATAATCATGTTCTGTCTCCCTGATCCATTTCTTCTCTTCTACCCCTTTCTTCACCCCTCTAATGCCTATCCTTGTCACCTACTTCTTATTTACTACCTTCTCTCACCCCCCCCCCCTCTCTCTCTCTCTCTCTCTCTATATATATATATATATATATATATGTATGCTTCTTCCTTTCTCCCTGTTTTTCTTTCCTCTTCTCAATCTCTTTTTTGTTCTTTCTCTCTCATCTCTTCTATGCACCCTCTCTTCTTTATTATATCTCTTACTTTTCTTACTTTTCTTCACCCCTCCCCCGCTCCCCCTCTCCTCCTCCCACCCCCCCCCCCCCTCTCTCTCTCTCTCTCTCTGTCTCTGTCTCTTTATCTCTCACTTATTTCTTTCTCATTCTACAGAGCGTGCCCATCAGGATGCAGTCTTCAAAAAAAGACAGAGGTAATATTTTTAGAATCAATCATAATTTGTATTCTAGAATTCTGATTGGATGTTTTGAGAGCTATGCATTTGTGTATTCGGTGATTCAATTCAAATGTATTTCAAATGATGAATATTACACAGATCTTCAATTCAACTTGATTATGTCAATTCAATTCAATTTATTAGCATCAATTATATATTTTAAGCCTTACATTTCATGTTTTTAAAATAAACGTTGTGTACATGAAGTTATCACCTATTAACCTATATTCCGAACATAATAATACTATCAAAAACATCAATATTTTAAACACAATGTTATATGTCGGTGCGCTATTGCCTGCGTCATAATTATACTGTTTAATTGACCTGAATTCTGGATAATTTCCTGGGGTGAAAAATCGTTAATCCTGACAACTTACGTTTCGGTATGAACAATTCAAAATCCAATTTAAAAAGTGTCCGCGCTCAACTCTTCAAGAAAACTCATAATCATTATTCTGACACAATTTTTGAATCCAAGTCGAGTCCTGTAATTCCATTTTATCATTTCGAACGGAAGGAAATTGTCGAGTGTTTACGGAATATGACACCGGGCTGAACTGGAGGGGGTTTAATATACAAGTGCTCCATCTTGACGAAAGCACTCCTTCAAGACGAGTCAGATCAAACCCTTAAAGCCCTACCGCGACGTAATTCTTGGTCGCGTTTCATCATATTTTTAGGGTGTCTGGCAGTACCTGGAAACTGAATGAACTCCCACAACCTCCTCTTCAATATTCTAAATAAAAAATAAATAAAAGAACGATGGGTGTTGGGAAATATTATATTCAAGGCAGGGTATTTTACCGACGTCGCTACCACTGCATTTCAACAAAATTTATACGGAGCGTGTTAATGTATGGGTGAATGAACCGGAAGTCGCTTTACATACTTCTTCATCGAAAGATGGCGCAATTGAAATGAATTACAGCAGTGGTAGCGCGCGATGAGAAAAGGGATAGAACAATGGGTGTTGGGAAATGTTATATTCAGGGCAAAGTATTTGACCGACATCGCTACCACTGCTGTAATTCACCCACCCCCTAACTCTCTCTCTCTCTCTCTCTCTCTCTCTCTCTCTCTCTCTTTCTCTCTCTCCTTTTTTTTATATCTCAATTCAACTCTATATACCACTTCTACCCCTTCCCCTATCTCTGTCTCCCTTTCCAACCCTCTTTCCTTTTATTTCTATCTGTTCAACTCTTTATATCACTTCCACTCCCCCTCTCCCTCTCTCTCTCTCTCTCTCTCTCTCTCTCTCTCTCTCTTTCTCTCCAACTCCCACATCACATTCATCTATAGTCTCATTATTTTCTTATATTTGCAGGTCAGTACCAGAAACGGTTGCTCAAGCCCCCTTTGTACAGCTGCGGTGATGGCCAAAAGAAAGTCGTTAGCTTCAGCTCTAACGGTCTCCCCTAGGTAAACTGGTCAACCGTTAGAGGTCGCTCTTTCAACATCAACGAAGAAACCAAAGAACAATTTCGCTCCGTTTAAACTGTACAGAAGTGTGGTCCAAGCGCTTTTTGTCAGGGGGCTCAGGACGTGGATTAAAACAATCTCTGAACTGTCATGCTAAAAAAGGGAGTCTTCACAAGTTTGACGTGTCTCCAAAATTCCTGACAAGCAGAGAGAGAGAGAGGTCGTCAACTCTGGAGCATGTTTGGCCAACATACGAGGCGCACTCCGCCCCGTAAACGCCGCCCCTGGACTTGAAAATCTTGCGTCTGTTCAAAATGGTTCAAGGAGGAATATGAAATTTCTTGAAAACTTAAAGGCGACGTTAACCAATAGACGATTTCCAATTGTAAGCCATGCGTATCGGAGTAACGATATTCTGGCTCATATCGACGAGTACGCATGGCATATTCGAGGAGTTTAAAACTATTAAATGTAATGGAAAAGGGTTGTGAATTAGTGTCTTAATTGGTGAACACATAATTTTTAATGAAAGTTATTTTGAGGTATCGAGCAAGATGAGTGATTTGAGAAGTGCCAGAAAAAAAGAAAAAAACTTTAAAAACAATATTTCATTTATTAAGTAGGCCTAAAGAGATCTTTCGGTGTGGATAAAAATGTGTGGAAAAAAATACTGAAGTGATTATAAAAGAAATATATAAAAACGTATGGTTTTAGACACATTGTGCAGTCGTTATCAGTTACATTTTTACACTCATTGGTGTGATTTCAAAAACACATCTGTAAACACGCAAGTTTGTTGTGATTGCATACAAATTGCATATGTTTCATTGTACAAAAGGGAGCGGACGAAATCCGTCTCATTGTTCTTTTTCACTATATTTTTGCCCTTCCCCCCGTCTTTAGCATTTTAAATGTCGATGTACCAAAGAGTCTTACTTATTTTTCCCTTAAATTTGATAACAATAGTTGGAAAACAAAAGTGGGGTTCGATCGCAGCTGCGTGTTTTCATTTCCCGTTGATTAACCGCGACGCAGACCAAGCGTCGAATTAAACAGAAAAAATACAAACCATTAGTTTTTGTAAGAAGCTTGAAAGCTTAGTTGTATTTAAGTTTAAGAAAGTGAAGAAAAAAAGGGAATAAATGTATAAAGAAAAAAAAATGTTTGTTATTTAGATTTAGTCCTCTCTAACGCTCAACCGAACGCACGTTGCCTTTTTATAAGCACTTGATAAGTTGTCATATTAGAAGCTTTTTTTCTTAATTATATTTTCGTTCTAATCAAGAATTTACAATTTCTTTTTGCATATTATGGTTAAGGTAATACTGTATATCATAAGGCTTAGATTTGAATATTGAACATGTAATTTCATTCCATACATATTTTATGAAAACAGATCCTTTGAGAATTTCTAAGAAATGTATATTACGTTATTTTAAAAACATTGTCGACGTTGCTTTGTTTACATATTTTCTACGAATCTGTATATACACCATTTAAATTATGTTCAGTTCTTGAACAGTTTCAGTAAATTCTACATTGTGTTGTATATTGAAATGTGCAATAAATGAAATAAGAACAATACACTCTTCTCTGACGTGTCGAATATCGTTTTAGTATTTGAATGGGGATTTACATGTAATAAACTAACCCTTTTGAATTTCATATTAGTATTCATGGCTTTGCATTGAACTATCACTGATTACATATAGCAAACACAAAATCGCAAACTTTGCGGAAAATCAACCTTCAGACCATTCCGATAGCCTTGTCCAATCCCCAATACAATTACATAGATTGTAGTCCGGACTTTCTTTACGGGATTTAAAGAACGATATAGTATCCATAATTTGGGACAAACTAAATTATAAGCAATCTCTGAATGTTGGTTTGTTTGCCTTGATCTTGTATCGGCCTGCATATTACAATTTATGTCACCAAGTATTACATAATCACAACTCATATCATCAAGTCTTTGTAAAACATCTCGAAATTTCTCAAACACTTGAACACAAGAATTAGGTGGTCTGTACCAAACAATATGAATAAACAACTTCATATTCGAGAACTGCAATTCATCAGTCAATAGTTCTAGACCATTTTACATAAAATCTTCACGTATTACATAATTTAAATCAGTTTTAATGTATGCTGCTACACCTCCATGTCTATCTCTGTCCTTGTTCTTCGGAACGGACGCAAAAGACTGCAAAATTTGCCGATCTTTTATCAATATTTTCATATTTTCACACCCAATTTCCTCACTAGGTAATGTTAGGTTCCTTTTCCGTTAGTGATATCAGAATTTCGAAATCTTTCCAATTTTTTTTAGATATGGAACTGTCCGCGAATGACGATCACGTGCGAACTATGGTCACGCCACGTATGTGCAATGCAAGAAAGGTTGATTTTTGGCAAGGATGATAACATAATTGCAAGCTCTCTCGTTGTTTAAAAGTCATTTTGGAAGAATATCACCGCCGAATTGTCCCCCCGACAAGGGTTGCTCGTCATATGCCCTCACAATAAAAATATCACAATAATTAGCTGAAGTGTTTGGACAAATTAACCTGCCATGCCACATATTTGTGTAGTTCCATACACTCACTTTTGTGTACTACGGTAGTCATTGCTAGAGACTTCCACCACAACAGTCCGAATTTCTTTTCATTTTTATGATTTCAAAACCTCACAGTTTACACCGATTCTGTGTGCTACCTCGAATATGATCAAACTTTTCTTATCATGCTAATTGCTCCCAGTTTACCTCACACTGTAACCTGAGGACCAGAACTCAAACTTCTTCTTAAATGGGTATGACATTGTTCATTTGCCGGTTCGATCTCATGCTCTTCTGGACCTTTGCCCAGAAGACCTCTTGACCTTCTTCATCCTCTGTCCACACCAGATACGGCTTGTTCCGACTCAGCAAGAGCCTAACAAGGTATGTTAGATGGTCATCGTCGATGTCTTCAAGGAAAATCAGGATGACCTTCTCCAACTTGGTGTCATTCATGTGCTCCACTGCCATACGGAGTTTGGTCATGTACCAGGTATCATCTACAGACTGGTTGCTAAGCAACAATATTGTCTTGTGGCTGTTTTCGATGACGTCGTAAATGGCGTTCAAGTAGAACGATCCTGGATGAAGATCGGCATCGCCAAATATGATGCGCCCCAGATGAGGCATCCTCTGCTCCAGAAAAGGTTTCATGCAGTCATTTACCCACCATTCATCGTCGTCATGGAACATGAGGTTGAGTTGGAATTCATAGTCCTCCGGAGTTTGATCTTCAGTGATCTCGTGGTAACCAACGATGGCTAACTTGAGGAGAAACAACTTATAGTTTATCCACCATCGGTTCAGATACACGAGTATACCGATGGTTAACACTAAAATCGGCGCAAAACATGCAGATACTATAATCATGATATTGGTCCTACAATATTCATTCGGATGGAACGACCAAATTTGTTGACTGACCAACGCCTTTAAAGAACTGCTAGAACAACGGATTCGATTTTCTGGAGCAAGATCTATTTTTCCTTCAACCTCGTTCAACCATTGTCTGAACCAAGCGAGATGGCAATCGCATGTTAAAGGATTGTATGCGATATTGAATCTAATCAAACTTGACGGCATTAAAGTGTTGGAGGCTACGGTCGAAATGTGATTGTTTTGTAAATACAACTGTTCAAGTTTATTCGTGCCCATAAACATCCCTTGCTGGATGAATGCAATTGAATTGTACTGCAGCTGCAACACCCGTAAACTGTGCAAACCTTGAAAAGCGTCCTTGGAAATGTTGGTTATTTGATTTTCAGACAGACGAAGCTGAAGCAGGGTTGTTAAGTTTGCAAATGTTCCTGAGGCAACCTGTCGTATATGACAACTTGTTAAGTCTAGCTCAACAAGACTTGCAAGCGGGGTGAACATGCTAGGAAGAGCGTGCAGGGTATCTAAAGGGTTGTGCCGTAGCTTAAGGGTCTGCAAGGAGACCAACCCTGAGAACAACGATGTCCCTGTATGAATATCAACTAAATCCTGAGCTTTGAGATATGATCCCGACATATTGAGAACCCTCAGCGCTGATGCTTTCGCAAACTGGTCAATCGATGAAATTTTCAACTTGCTATATGACATATCCAGATTAATTAGATGTTGCATATTTCTAAACGAACCTTCCATGGTAAATTTCCCCACATCCGACATGACGAGTAATTCTAAGGAACCGACTGAGGTGAGGGCGTCCTCTGACATCCCAAAAGAATTTACATTGCCGGAAACATCAAGTGTTTTCAAATTTACCAAGCCAGTGAAGGTGTAATGATTAAGGAAGCCGAGATTGTTTTTATTGATAACAAGAGTCTGAAGATTTATTGCCTTCCATGGTCCCAACGCGATGCGACCGATGCCGCTTTGATATATGATCAGGCTACGGAGAAACCAGGATCCGTCAAACCATTGAGGATCCAAAGTCGCGAGGTTATTACGTGACAAATCGACTTTCTGGAGTTTTGAGGCGCAAGCGAACGAGGCGCGGGGAAGTGACTTTATTCTATTCCGAGACAAATTAAGGTCTACCAGTGTATGTAAGCCACAAAATGATTCTTTATTGATGCTAGATATATGATTCTCTTGAAGGTTCAGGACTTGCAGTTTTTCAAAACCACCCAGAGCATACCTTGGAATGTCATTTAAGATGTTCAAATTTAAATAAAGTTCTTTAATCAGTGGCACATTTTCTTTTTGCATCGACGACATGTTCACTGGACGAATGTACTTTATGCCTGAAGAGGCAATCAGAAGTCTGTCGATTTTAACATGGTCCATGAAATATTCGACGTCGAAAGTAGCTAAGCTGATATTGTTCATGTTCAGAATACCTAATTTGGAAAAATGTACAAATGCCTTAGGTTGGAGAAACGTCACATTATTATTATTTACATTGAGCTTATCGACAGAGCAATTTCTCCAAGGTAAAAAGTCATCCTCAGTTATGGTTGTAACTTTATTGAAGGATAGATCTACAACCGACATATTCCGCCATCCATAAAAGTTTCCACCCTTCTGGGTACTCACAAAAGTGCTAGAGATGCTACTGATCTTGTTGTGTGATAGAGTTATTATACATAACAGAGCATTCTTCTGAAGATAATAAATGGGTAAAAAAGTGATCAGGTTATGATCCAGTTTCACGACCTGCAATTGTGGTAGAGTTTCGAATGTTCCACTTTCAATGAAGGCAATGATGTTATGGTGAGCATTCAATTCTTCTAGTTGGTTGTAATTCATGAAAGATCTATTTCCAAGTTCTGTTAACTGGTTTTGACGGATAGATAAGACCAGCAGGTCATGCGGAAGGTCTTCGGGAACTGAAGTAAGATTGAGATGAGCGCACAAAGCGACGTGAAGAGGCGTGACTGGGCATGTATAGTTTATCTGTGGTGAACGGAGGGGTATGTCCACTCTAACCTTCTGCACGATACCTCCCAAAAATATTACTATCAAGATCAAAAGTGTTCGCGTCAAGGAATCCATCAAGAGATGAGCCATTTTGATCGTCCTCCACAAGAACACTGAGATGTTTGTTAAAATCAAATAAGCGCTATCACTGATTTCCCTTGCTTGGTTTCTGGAATGGAGGGTACGATAGGCGTTAGTTTTGGCAACATCCTCTCAGGCACGTACGTCATATCGAAACTAATGAGTCAGCAAGTAAAATGATGTATACGTTTATCAAAATTCTAGCTTTTTTTATTCATGAGGCAAATATGGGTTTTTATTACGAATAAATACCATTGCCGGCTTTAACGGATGTATCTATGGCTCATTCAGCTCAGTAAATAACTTGTATCTCGCACTTGAATATAAGTGATTAATTAGAATCAGCTAGTCATTAATTTGTTGTGCAATGTAAAGAGAAAGAGTTATAGGACATTTATGACCATGAATCAGGTCAAGTCATGGGCTTTTCTTTTAATCTTCTCCTTTTCTTTGTATGGCTTTCTCAAAAGTATCAATAAGGTGATGTACTAACATTATACAGATATAGTAGAAAATAGATCATTTCATAACGCCAGTTGGAATATACAAAAGGCATATAAACTGAATCTTACAAGCACTTTCCATGACCTGATGAAAATAAAGTTGAGATCATGTCATGTCAATTTCTGTCTCCACTTGTACTTCATTGTACATGTAATGTGTTTTTGTTATCTCGGCAAAATCATTTAAATCATTAATGCATTATGCATGCATATTCATATAACAACCGCATTATTCTCTTTGTTATTTATTTGATATTATTTATCTCTTATGTGTTGACGATGGGTTGTCATTCTATTCGTTAAAAAAATCTCCTGTCTCTCCGATATATTGTTTTCCACAACCATTACAATTTAGACACTACAGCAAATTTCTAGATGTGCATGAAATTAAGTGTCTTTAATTTGAACGTTTATATATACAATCATAGGCGCTGGAAGTGGGTGGGGGGCAGGGGGCACTCGCCCCCACCAAAAAAATGGGGAAGGGGGCAAAACGCATTTTGCCCCCCCCCCCAAAAAAAAAAATAAAAAATAAAAAATAAAAAATAAATAAATAAAGCCCCCGTCCCCCTCCAAAAAAAAAAGTAGTAAAGAAGTAAAGATGGTTTGTATTTTTATCCAAAAGAACATAACAATAATAGAAACCTGAATTAAATCACATATAAAATTCCATTCAAAGAAAAGGAAAGTTAACAGGAATAAAAATTTCCTAAACATTCCGCACGCCACCTATATTTATCAATGGGGGTTTTTATGATAGCGATACGCACATATCGTGAAAATATTTTGAGAGCATGGGAAAGCGTGTGTTTTTTTTTGTTATAGTGGTGAGAAGACATGAGCCCCTGAATGCTGGCGTACTGATGTGGGATATTTCTTATTCGATACCAATGATTTACAAATGTTGCTAAAATGACATGATTTTCCGGTATCTTTTCTCAACTTTTGGGTAAGTCATGCCTTTTTATGCGTTTGTTGGAAAATTAGAAATTCCCAAATTTACAGTCGGGCGAAAAATATGCTTATTTAGAAGCCTTCATGTCAAGGCCTGCAGAAAGACTGGGCTCGGGGGCTTGAGCCCCCCTCACTTTTTGAAAAAGTATGTTACAGAGAAAAAGAAAAAAAAGAGAGAGACAACAATAAGCGACCTGCCAATGTCCCAAATGAGGTATCAAAATATGCTCATCTGACCGTAATTAAATACCTAAAACTCCCGAGCTTCCGGGGGCACTGCCCCCCTGGACTACATCAATGGCCTTTAAGAGGGCGCCTGGATGCTCATCTAACCGTAATTAATTACCTAAAACCCCTGAGCTTCCGGGGGCTCTGCCCCTAGACTCCCCGTCAATTAGTGACCTGCCAGTGTCACAAAAAGGTATCTAAATATGCTTACCTGACCGTAATTGAATGCCTAAAAACCCTGAGCTTCCGGGGGCTCAGCCCCTTGACCCCCTGCCGGGGCTCAGGCCCTGGACCCCAAGCCAATTTACGCTCTACATGATCGTTAATACTCCACTTTGAAAAACTTTCGGCCGGTCCTGCATGTAACGTGTAAGAGTGGTGTTGATGCAGATTTTTCTTCTGCCCCCCCCCTTCCAAACGTTTTTGCTCATTACGCAACTGCTCCTGGAAGGTGAGCCCCCTGGAATGTTTGCCCCCCCCCCCCCCCCCCACCATCCCAAACTGCTTCCGGCGCGCCTGTATACAAGAGGCCCTCTATCAAAACGTGATATGCTAAACAGGCGGGCTCCCTCTTGCGTTCAGTTTAGTTTCCGATTCTCGTCAAACTAGATCACAGAAATTATTCTCCTTTTATGTGCTAGTCTACCTGGACAATAGAATAAATTTCATCTACTTTTATCCTTATCGTTTTCTTAGTACGCCCCTCGCCCAAAATATCAATACCCGTCTATCCTACAATTCATTGAGAATTAAAAATAAACATATTCAATAGCTAGAACATAATTATGATAATAAGCTTCAGCAGATTCATCAATGTGTAAAAGCATGAATTGTTGCAACTAGATATACACCGGGGGGGGGGGGGATGATATATATCTTTATATCCTTATATCCTTATGTAAACCAGTTCCATTAAACTAATCTATGATTAGGGCCATTTAGGGTTTGGCGATATTTAGTTTTGAACCTTCCATTTACAAATTTACATATATTATATATTTATTTTTATCCACTTCGAAATTGATCTTTGTTTAAATGAATAGGCCTATATGTGTATCTAACACAAGAGAACTAGATACAGTACATTGTATTTTTTAAAATATTTTTCGAAATAAAAGGAAACAAATACAAGATAAATATACATTCGCTGTGAAAAGAAGAATACATGAAAAATGTATTGTCCGATCTAAGAATGAATCTTATATGCTGCAGCTGCTGTGAATACGTGATTGTAACAGGGAGACTGTAGACTATCTGCAGTTCACAGTACTCGATTGTAATAAGAGGGGTGAATACAGACAAAAGAAACGCTCCTCAGACGCCCGCAGCCCACCACACGGCGTCTTTAGGAAATTAGAGAACCTCTGAATTGAATGAAAAAAACCAGGGTCAGAGTCCTTTCTTGGTTTTATAACACTTCCCATTTATACCAGAAAGAGGACCTCAAAACCAAAACGTTTATTTTGCCTTTTGTTCTCCTTGTCTTCAGGCTCCGCACGCAAACGAAACATTCGCTGTTACAAACGACATCGTGCGATATTGTGCGATTGCTCTAAAAAGTAGTTGGGGGAAAGGATATCGAGGACGACACATTTGCACTTGAAGAGTCGGGGATGATTGTATTTCGTGTTTCCATGGTTCGCTGTTGATTCGAATTTCTTCTGCAGGTCAGTCTGGTTAAATCCTATTGTCCTTTGAGGTTTCATGGTTCGCGGTTAATTTGAATTGTCTGCAGACCCTTCGCACACCACGCCGGTCACATATCCTTATATTGCTAATGCTTATTATTCATGCTTCCATAAATGATTGGGCCATTCATTTTGAACTTGATATGCTGTGATGTGCTGCTTATTATGACAAGAGGCCTTAAAGATATCGTAAGTTGATGATACTTTATGTGCGTTATTTTCATGAGAGACAATCTGGATCAGATTTGTGAAGAGGTCATTTTGTGTGACCTCAGACATAAACACTAGCTTCATAATATTTCTCGTCCGTTGATATGCGATGACCTTTCGATACAAATGCAATGAATCATGCCATATCCTATGAATACAGCGGTAGTATTGCATATATTGCCTCTAAGTGTGTAGCTAATGTTAATATTGGCTCAATCATTCTACAATGTCTGTACGTTATGTCGATAGCTAGATTACAAGAGTCGGAACTTAATCATAATCTAGTTCTGTGCCATTTAGTTATCAGCTACGCGGTCTAATTTTATCTCAAAAATGTGCTTATCCCGAAAGAGATTTACAGTACGTATGTACTTCAGTTGGAGGTTAATACGTCAGCTAGTGTAGTCATTGAAATGCTTATACCTCGTTCACGTTAGAAGCTTTAATATCATTCATATACGAGTCGGAATTTCAGTGCCATTCTCGTTTGAACACCAAGGAGGAAAAACGACCTGGAGTCATATTATCTGTTCTTTGAACCTGTCATTCAACCCAGCCCACAATATTTTCTAGCTCTAATCTGTTATCGTCCATATACGCCAGTGGTGGTAACTTAAACTAAACGACCAACAGTTACTGAACGATGACGACGTTGACGTCCGTGATGGAAAGCGCCGACGCGGTAGCGTTAACGTTATGCGGCGTCGTTCTTCTAGCGTCCCTAGCCGTGTGGAGCATGAGCCGCCCCCGAGGTTTCCCGCCAGGTCCTCTTGGGGTTCCCATCCTAGGCAGCGTGTTCTGTGAGTATACAAGTCGACTTCTGTTGTATGTCAGTAATATACCATATATGGAAACGATAATTTGTTAGATTATGATTTGGGAGGGATGTCTGACTCCAATCAGTACTACTTGATGCACTATTCATATATTAAGAGTAGGGGAAAACCCCCATGAGTTATACCAGGAGGAGATACCCGAGGGTTACAGTGATACAGTTCGCTTTTCGCCTCCCAGGGCCAAGCACAGGTGACGCCAAGATACTGAATACTAACAATAATATTTGGAAGAAAGGAAAAAAGACTAGATAGGTCGAAATTCAAATGAGTATCCCTTCCTTACAAGAGGATATCCTTGTCTGAGCATTTGAATGCTGAATTTTTTTCTATATCATTGCCCCATTCTTTTTTCTGTCCGTCTTTCGTTCTTTCTTTCTTTTATTTTTTTGCTTCTTTGATTCTGTCTTCCATGTCTTTCTTTAATTCTTTTTTGTCTTCCGTTCTTCCTGACTTTCTTTTATTATGTCTGTCTTTCTTTTTTCCTTCCTTCCTTTCTTTCTTTTCAATTCTTTTCTTTCCTTTGTTCGTTTGTTTCATTCTTTCTCTCTTTTTTTAAATAAAATCCTGAACCCGGCCCCGATCGACAGCGATGACGGCCAGCCCCGAGGAGATCTTCGTGCGATGGAGCAAGCAGTACGGCGACGTGTTCGGGTTCAAGGTCGGTCAGAGAATGATCGTGGTCATCAACCACCAGGACGCTATCAGAGAAGCCCTCCTCAAACACGGCATCGAATTCGCAGGAAGACCCGATTTCTTCTCCTGTGAGTAAGCTTATACTTTAAATCCCCACTGCACTACGTATAGCTACTTGCTCCCCCTAAATAGCAAACAATGCCTAATCGGTGACCTTTGGTCCCCCATAGTCCCCTTTTCCTAATGTTAATTGATGAGATAACCACCTGTCAGTGACCATGCAGGGAGGTCTAATCCCTCATGGCCAAACTAGTTCAGATATCCTTTAACAATGACAGAGCTTTTTTTTAGTTGTACGAGACTTAATTGCTCTGCAGCAATCGCTCCGCCTTATACCCTAACTCAATTCTAAACGTCAACCCTGCACCTAACGCTTTAACTAACCCTAACCCTAAACCCAATCCTAACGATGCCGAGACATGTCTCTGACCTAACCTGAAACCCAATTGCAACCCTGACACTTACTCTCTATTTTTGTCAACATGAAGCCCGGAGTAAACTTTTGTCGTAGGAGCAAATGCTGGGACCCGTTTCACAAAACCTTTATCATTGACAAATGACAAAAGTCAGTGATAAATCTGCTAATGCCAATCAGACGCAATGGTTTCACTGATGACAAGTTTTGTGAAATAGGGCCCGGCATCTCTCCTTATCTCACATGTTATTATACAGATTGTTTACTGAACTCCTGACAATCATGACGATGGAGCATTAAGAAGGCCATTGAAAAAATTGCCTTCATGACTTTGAAGGGACATCTAACCTTTATAATATAATAAGTTCATTTGTTTGAGAGCAGAAACGGAAGAGAAACATAACTTCGAAGTTTGTAATGAAGCGGACCATTGATAAGAGAGAGTTACGAAAGTTTGAAGTATATGAGATCACTAATTCTTTGTGAATCTCACGTATTAAAGCAATTTGACTAGTGGCTTGTGATGTAGTCATTGACAGCTCTCCCGTTTGTCGTTTACAAAAAATATACTCATGCTGAAAGGCATTTTTCCGCCTTTCGCGCTGTATCACAAAAACCAACCTGTCATATTTCATTTCCAAAAAATCAATTTCCCCCGTTATGATCGCGTCCTCGTAATCCCTCGACTCGAAGAAACACATTTGGTTCGGATTATCCTAGCGAGTGGTTGTCATGGTAACTGTGTCCCTCTCCAAACCTTACGGCTGTTTCTCTATTTATTGCAAAGATTGATACAACATTTTCCCCACCCCTCCATCTTCCTGCGATCTTTCATTTTTCGATTGAAGAGCAAATATACGTGTCCGTTTATGCTATAAAAGTTTATTATTGCTTTGGTACATTATTCAATGTTACCGTACGTAATACTAGAAATTTGTTTTAAGCTTACACGTATTAAAGGCTTCGATTTGACCAACCAGACTAAATCATGCGTAGTAGTTGTCTTCAACAGTGTAAAGCAAATAATATATATAGTACATGTACTTAGATATTATTATGAAACATCAATGACATTACAGGACTTGCGGTTGATTAAGATCAATCGCAACTCTTTATGAGACAAGACGGGGCCCTGGACTCCGTTTCGAAAGCATGACTATAATCATAGACGTAATACAAATGCTATAATCAAGAGCTCACTATCTCTATCTCTGCATGGTTTCAAATGACAGACGATTCGGAAATCGTAATCATCTTTATGACGATGTGGTGAACGTTGTTTACTAGACACTGTCTTGACCTTTAACGCATTGCCGGATGTCCTTATAAATCCTGCAGGATATAGTTTGATTAGTGTTTTTTATGTTTTGTTTTGTTATACCTCATACTATCTAAGCTAGGCATGTGCATTAAGATTGAATATCCTTATGAAAATGTTCTCGACAAGCACCTTAGGAATAAAATGGCAGCTTAATTGGCTAAAGCCACGATTTTGTAGGCACTTTGAGCATCCCCTTGATTGGATATGTGCGCAATACGAATCTATATATATTTGGTAGGCATATATTGTTTCACCCGCCGCCCCTCCCCCTCCCCCGCCTCCCCCCCCCCCCCTCTCTCTCTCTCTCTCTCTCTCTCTCTCTATTATCTTTCTGTCCTCCCCACCCCGTCCCCTCTCTCTCTCTCTTCCCTCTCTCTCCTATCTATCTCTTGCTGTCTCTCCCCCACCTCTCTCTCTCACACACACACACCCTCTCTCTCTCTCTCTCTCTCTCTCTCTCTCTTTCTCTCTCTCTCTCTCTCTCTCTCTCTCTCTCTCTCTCTCACACACACATGTTCACATGTTCTTCTATGTTTATTTTACTCTGTCTGTCTTCTCTTGACATCCCCATCTCTCATTCAATTTAGTTTTCTCTCTCTCTCTCTCTCTCTCTCTCTCTCTCTCTCTCTCTCTCTCTCTTCATGAAACTAGTTGGAGTGTTCACATATGGCTTTAAAGACATTATCTTCAGCTCGTACTCCGACACATGGAAGCTGCATCACAAGTTCGCTCACTCGGCTCTCAGGTACGGTAATTAATTCCAGGGAGGTGATAGGGGAACTCCCTGGTAATTGTGTGTAAAAAAATAAAATAATTGAAGAACGAGGTAAAAATTACGAAGTTTATCATTCCACCCCCCCCCCCCCCCCCTCACCCAGTAGAGGTTGGATATCAAACGTATGTGCTGGAGATCCTTCTTGATTGAATTGTTTCTAAGTTATTGAAAATGCATTTAATGGAGTCATCAATTATGACGTGTAGAGCACTCTCAGATGATAATGCATCTGGAAATTTGGATGATATCTACGAAGAATTAATTTATAAATTTACAGTGTATATGACACAATTACAAAATTTTACTCATGGCGAAGACATTTTATGTTTCATTGGAAAGTAATTGACCTGTAAAATTGTAAGGTTTTTTTGCATCGTTCCTTAATTCAATTGAGTTATATGCCTACTAAACATTAATGTCAATCGTTATCAAGATCACAAGAGATTTTTGAGCAATCAACATCAAGCAATTCCAAAAGCCTTGCTATGTCCATAACCCTCCTTCATCAGCTCGAGATTGCCAAATAACCCGCTATTTTAACTATCCCGATCGCAAATCATCCAGCTAATTTGCGTCTTCATCAGCCCACAGTTGCAATTAGCAGGATATTTGGTCGAGATAATCATCCCAATATATCTTGGGCTATAGTTTGGGAAATATCCGCTATTTGCCCGGTGCGTCTTCACCAGCGCGTACGCTGAGCATAATATATCGAGCTCGAATTTCGAGTTTCGAGGTCGAGTCTCCAGCTGATGAAGACGCGGTTTGTAACTTCGGGATTATTTCCCCCAATCAGAAATAGCGGGCTATTTGACAATCTCAGCTGATGGATACATGTAGTGTAATCTGAACATGATTTATATCGGGTGTAGCCTACAATTGCTTATCGGAATTGATTTCTCGAAAATCTTTGCGATCGTGTTCATAAATATTCATATATAAAATGAAATTGATTTTTTTTTCAGACAGTTTGCATCTGGTAAGCGCCTTGAGCATCTCCTGCACGGATCCATCGCTAAGATGGAGGGCTACCTCTCGAAGATGGACGATAGCGAGCCTGTAGATCCCAAACTCGTCATTACCCTCCTTCTCTATAACGTCATGTCGACAATGTGCTTCGGAAAAGAGTAAGAACTCCCCCCCCCCCCCCCCCCCGACAAGGGAAATATATTTTCAAAAGTCTTTTAGGAGAGAAAAAAACACCTCCTCCTTCCGGCACCCCTGGAGCTCATGGTGATCCCTTGGATAATGATACCATGAACAAAATATGTTCTCTCTTCAATCACCCAACACCTAACCATATTGAGAAGACTACAGGCTACCCGAAATTGTGTTCCTAGTCAGTGAAAACAAAAAAATAAAATTTAAAAGATCCATCGGTGGGAAAATCCCTCCTTCTTTCAGAAAACCCTGCATCCAGTCCTTTTTTTGGATAGAAACAGAGTACTCCAGATTTTTTTTCAACAATGGCCTGTATCGTATTTATTTGGTTAAGCCCGATCCTGATTCTAAAATCATGTTTAACAAAGATAACACTTAGACTTTGACTAGCTTGACTAACCTTAATCAAACCCGATTTCGAACAAAACCCTGAACCCTGAACCCAGCGTCAGATTTAAATTTTAATGCAATACTGGCCAATCTGTTCATTTTCTTTCGTAGCTACGACTTCCTCGACGAGAATCTTATCGCATGGAAGGAGAACAACGAGAAACTCAACCAAGAGTTCGGGATGGGCGTGGCGGCCGATTTCTTCGGATGGGCCCAGTATCTGCCGACACCTGGAGTGAAGATGGTGCACAGAATGCGAGACGAGCTTCATCGGTTCGTCTGGGATGAGCTCGATAGCCACAAGAAAAACTTTGATCCAGGTACTTAGCGATATGATATCAACTTGTTTGAATGTTTGAACAGGTTAATCTATAAACTTATTCATCATGGGCAGAATCGTTATCTTTATTCCATTTATATTGGCATATTAAAGATTGTAATGATACGAATATCTTAGAAAAGAGATCTTCCCTCATCCACTCCTGTATTCTTAATTTCACACTAAGCCCATTTTCCTTATTTACATGAATCAAACAAATCATTCTCGCCGGAATTATTAAGCAAGCACACTTTTAAAAATTATATTCCAAAGATTTTCATGGTAAACTAAAGAGCAGGAAACTTTTCTTTGACCCACAACTTGAACATTTTCTACGTTTGTTTTTGTAAGGGCGAAAGGGACACTAAAAAGAGCACTTGACTGTAGGAAGGTAAGATCAGGGAGAGATACATCGAAGGAAGAAAGGTGGAAATACACTGGTATATATGCAGAGGATAGGAGTCTAAAAGAGAATAGGGGAGAATAGAGGGAAATAACGGAAAGAGGGACAGAAGAGGTTAACATTCAACTATTTTTGAGTGTCTCTCTTCCTTTCGTTTACTCTTTGCACTTTAATGTGGTTTCTTTTTTCTTCAGATAATGTTCGAGATGTCTTCGACATGCTCTTATTAGCACAAAAGGAGGCGGCTGATTCAGGAAACCAAGATGCTGAGAAGCTGAGCGATACCCATCTGGTTCTAACTGTCAGCAACATGTTTGCCGGTAAGAACAACATGATGACCTTCATTGTCTCAAAACTACATGAATCTATCAAACTGATAAACCGATTTTAAAAAAAAAGGAATAATATCAAAAATATCACGAAATTTTTAAAAAAAAGATTTTCAACCCATCCCGGGCTGAAGTGTGAGCCTCCAAATGAAAGTCACCACCGACTTACGCTAATACTTTTTTCCGAGCAGACATCTATCACAATATAACATTTTGAAGTGGATGAGTATACATGTGTACAAAGAGAATGACATTGTGTCCCTACAGCGGCGAGTTCTGGATTGTCAAAAATAGGGGAGGGCAAAATTTCCAGACAAGAATATTTTCTCTGGATCGTTTCGATACTCTAGCCGACCCTCCCCAGGCTGTTTCATTTCATTAGGCATGGCAAGGGTCCGTGGTGGAAACAAATGATTTTTTTTTTAAAGGATATAGTTTTTTTGTTTTGTAAAAGAATGCCTCCGAAAATTCCCGGAGTATGATTTTGAATCCAATCCTCTCTCACATGATTCGATAAGGATCCGGATTACCCCACCCCCCCCCCCCCCTCCCCAATCCGCACTTTTGCTTTTGCAGGGTACAGGTTTTGTTGATAATAGATCTGAATGGCGTTATGATAAAAAATCTTGATGGCTTGGTGAGCGGGATGCCAATTAACTTTGCACTCCCAGTTATACGACATTATAATTCATGACTAAACTTTTAAAAATCTACCTGGCAGCTGGAATCCAAACCACCACAGAAACGCTCTACTGGGCCTTAGCCTTCATGGTCGAGCACCGGGACATCCAATCCAGATGTCAGGCCGAGATCGACAGGGCCATCGGACGCAAGCGTGTTCCCGTCGTTGACGACCGTGGAAGCTTGCCGTATACCGAGGCTACGCTCTACGAGGTGATGCGCTACAGCTCCATATTGCCGATAGCGGTGCCCCATGCCACCACCTGCGATGTGAATTTTAGTGAGTCTGTCACCCTTTACTTCCAGGCATTTTCCGTGAAGAATATAAACGATCTTGCTTGAAGTTTCGTATTTTTATACATTCATTCAGTAAATTGCATTTCCTGTTTCTGCTGCCTCTTCTATTTCCACCCCGCGCCATCCCCAATCTCTCTCTCCCTTTCTCTCTCTCTCTCTCTCTCTCTCTCTCTCTATCCCTCTATCCCTCTCTCTGTGACTTTCTATATCTCTCTATCTTATTCCAGCTCTCTTTCTCTTTCTATGTCTCTTGCTCTCTTTTCTCTTACTACGTATGTCCCTTTCTTTTAACATCGCCTTTCTGATTTGATTTGATTTGATTTGATTTATTGGTTTCTGCATCTTTTTTTCTTTCTTTTCCATTATACATTTTCATTTACATTATATGGTTTGATACAATATATTTAAGTGTATATAATTTTATACAGATAATATGCGAAATTAAACGAATATATTGAATAAATGATTAACATACATTAGATCTTCATCATCATCTTCTTGTGTGATGCTTCGTTATTATTGGAGATTCATCGATTCATGTAGTACACTATACACAATTAAGAACGACAAGTTCAAGTAAAATTCATGGAAATCTTTCATTTTGTCAATAGTGTAGAGTATAGCGGTTTTTCCTCCCCAAATGAACGTTTTGGAATAACATTTTTTTGTTCTTGTCTCGGCAGGAGGATACCGAATCCCCAAAGGAGCCGTGGTGATGTTCAATACCTATTCGATGCACTACGATCCCAATGCTTGGGAGAGCCCTACTTCGTTCAAACCTGGTAAATACAATAATAATATAAATGTAACTTATATAGCGTAAAATATACTTGGAGTGGTGGAGTGCTCAAGGTGCATGTAGAAGTAAGTAAGAAGTTTGAAAAGGAATCAGAGGTTGTACACTTTTTGATGTCTTCGGGAAGGCTATTCCATTAGGAAGGACACGCGTGAGCAAAGGATCTTTCCCCCAAGGTTTTGCAAACTTTAGGAATCACAATGGAACCGGAAGAAGATGAGCGTAAATGTCTTGCAGGGTTGTAATTTTGGATTAAAGCTTCATCCCCACCCCCAATAGTTCCTCCTTTAGTTTAAATACATTTGCAGTTTGGCGCTGAAAAGGGATGGGACCAAGTAGAATTGTTTGAGCATCATGGGAGCCACTAAAAGGTTTGAATATTGCAGGGATATGATGAAATAGTAAAATCGGTAACAAAACAAACATCTTGGGTTCCTCTCTGTCTAACACATTAATTGCATGGGTTACACCCAGAGGTTACTGTGGCATTCACTGTCCCAAGTGCATGACGAAATACAACAACAAAAACAAAAGCAACAGAAGATACTAAATGGATTTAAATGTCCCTTAAATACAATTTACTATCCTTTTACCTGGAATTGTCTTTCGGGCAAGCATTTTCAGATAGATCTCTGTACAATTTGACGGCTCTCATTTTCATTCAACAAATAACTACCATCAAAATTGGAATGCAAAGTCTTCCAAACTGTGTCTTTTGTCTTTTGGGATAAGTTGCAAGAGACGGGACTACGGAAACACATTCAGTAGTACGTATCCAGCAAGTGATTTTCATAGGTATTGTGTGGCTTTAAGCGGGATTGCACTACTTGTAGCTACTTGCGCCCTCTTTTTAATAGCCAACAATTCCTAGGAGGTACCCGTTGATCCCCCACGGTCCCCTTTTTCATATGTTAATTGAGAGCTGATTTGGTGAGATAACCACCTGCCAGTGACCACGCAGGAAGGTCTAATCCCTACTGGCCAAATAGTGGAGATAGGCTTTAAAGCATTGACTTTCGAAAAGTACCCTTTTCTGTAAACTTAACTTAAATACTAAGGGTGGCTTGGCGGGAAGCGTTGTCACCCCCATCCTTTGGCTTGCTTTCAGTGCATCATACATATTAAGCACACTTTTCAATGCAAAACGATTACTTCTAATCCTGCTTCTCTTCTCCAATTCAAAGAACACTTCCTTGAAGACGACGGCAGTGTTCAACAGCATCCGTCGAGTTTTCTCCCGTTCGGAGCGGGACGCCGAAGCTGCCTCGGGGAAGTCGCGGCGAAGACGGACCTCATCATCATCTTCACCTGGCTGCTGCAGAATTATTGCTTTAAGACGGTACCAGGCAAAGAAACGACTAGCTTGCTGCGGGTGATTGAGAACAGTGCTGTCGGGAGGAACCTGGAGAACTACGAGCTGATCATGGAAATGAGAAAATGAAACTGTAAACCCGTTGACTACTGACTTATCTAATTCCCATAGACTTAACACAGGGACCATCAGGTTCCAGTAAGCAATGGGTTAACTGGCTAGAATTAAGTGATGGTCATGGTGTGGTAAAAGAGTGCCGCCATCAATGTCTTTTCTTTTGATGGTCTCTGCAGGATTCTTCCTTCAAGAGAGTCCTTGGGAAAGGATACAAGCTTTCGGTGACTTCCATGAGAACAGTTCTGCCCGTACAAACCTGAAGACATCTAGGGAACTACGAACTTATCATGGAACATAGAAAGTGGAACTCTGAACCACGACTGACTCCAAAAAAAAAAAGCTAAGGATGCGGTCAGAGTTAAAAATGGACCGCGGAACAATCGTCACCAGTGTATGTCAAACCACGTAACAAATTGGACATTGTTCCTTTTCTTTAGTTTGGTGTTTAACCCACTGACTGTCGAAGTCTCACATTGTCATAGGTTTAATACACCTGCACTAGTCTTGCCAGGAGGGATTATACCTCCCTGCAAGGTCACAGACAGGTGGCTATCTCATCAAATCAGCTCTCAATTAACATAAGAAAAAGGGGATCACGGGGGACCAACGGTCACCGCTTAGGCACTGTTGGCTATATAGAGGGCGCAAGTAGATATAAGGAGTGCAGTGGGGCTTTTAGGGATAACATTTTCTTGAAGTAAATAAAATATTTTTATATTGAAGTAAAAGTATTGCAATGTCTTGTTGAGCTTACATATCTGTCACAACTATCAGGCATGGTTTCTGCATGTATATCGGTTTTTAAACATATAGTTTAATGTGGATTGTAAACTCGTGACATTCTTTATTCAGTGTGGATTGATATATGAATATCTTTTCCTCTTAAATCCATGTAAAAATAAAAAGTTATGAAATAAATAATAATAGTTTTTAAAACTGTTGCTTTTCAATGTCTCTTTCACTCGCTTCTGGATTGCGCAGAGGGGACGCCGAGTTTTTAATCTCTAAGTTGTTCTACGGTTTTGTGCATTTTGCGCCCCTTTATTTCAATAAGGATGAAATTATGTTTTGTTTTTAATTTTCTTTTTTTCCTTCTATTTGAAAGGCGTATAACGGTTACTTGGCGTCGACCGCCCCCATCCCCTCTCCCCTCCCCCTCTCCAATCTACTGACATCCAGTATAAGGTCATCTTCATTGCCTTTCCCTTATTCGTTTTTATCTTGCACTGAAAAACCAGTATTCAAGCTTCATAAACGCAGAATAGCGCCCCATCTGTCTGTGGGATCATGTTCAAGATGCTCTCTACCTTGGACTAGATCACGTTCGTCAAACTTATGGCATTTCCCTGTTACAAAGCTTCGGACTTTGTACTTTCAAATATTTGTCTAAGGACACCATAGCAGTGTTTGAAGTGTATGGTAGTGTAAAAGAGAATGTCCATTTCTGACAAAGGAGAAGACAAAAATTTGTGAGCATACTGATTCTTTTTATATCAATTAGAATGGGTATCACAGTAGAAAATATGTCCCCTGTTGAGGACTGCTCTTTAAATGCTCTGATAAATATGACAATGAACAGGTTAAAACATTTAATAGATGATTGCTGACATACGACAAACTTTGCGTCGTCCCATATACCCATTTTTATGTGTTGTGCGGCAAGATTTTTTTTCAATTTCTTGTCATCATTTTGATGATTTCAAGCTTCTAAGTACACACATATCTGTATGTACTCCACATTCTACACTGTTCAGTTCAGTGGCGTACACAGGATTTTTTCAAGGGGGGGGGGTTAAAATCGGGCCCGATCGGGTTAAAACCCCCCCCCCCCCCCCCCCCCCCCCCCTGCGTACGCGCCTGGTTCAGTTGAAGTAAGTAATCGTAAGAGCTAGTAATGAGAGAAGATAAATTCGCACGTCGGAACTTCAACCAAAATAACAACAACATAAAAGAATATATATCAAATGATTCAGCATTACATGTCATGAGAAAAGACAGGTATGGAAATAATGTATAGTTCTAAACATACCTGCATAATACTAATTTGATCATTATCATTTGTTTTTTGTTTTTTGGCCGACTCTGTCGGCAGCAAGCCAGGTCTGTGTTAAAAAAAACCCACGCGGGAAGGCCTTTCATTTAACTGCGAGGTGCAGCTGAATGTGTAAGATCATTAATGTAAATAAAAAACAGTAGAGGACCTAGGATAGAACCTTGTGGAACGCCATGTAATAGAAGAAAAATTGGAGGAATTATTATTATAAACTACATAATTGAGATCTATCAGAAAGATTACTTTCAAACCAAGATGACTACTGAGCTGGGAGACATTGCCAGGCATAGCGCCAGGTGGAGGGGCATAAATCGAGACTTTATTTATTTTTATTTTTTTTTGGTGTACCGTGTATAAACCGGGCCCCCGACTTTGAATTTTTTTCGGCGGCAAAAAGTGCGGTTCATACACCGTTAATTATGGTAATTTTTTTAATATATGTTTTTTGCTTCTATTATTATCACATTAAGAATATGAAGGCATTGGAAGAGCCATGCTTTTCAGGGAACGTTTTTCCCTGATGTTCTTCCACACCTGGTTAATAACAATGAAAACGCTCATAAATTATCTTTTAAAATCCGGTTCAACATAGGAAGTTAGTGTGAGGTTTACGTTTCCTTTGTTAAAAGGGGGCTTATATAGACCTGTGTTATGTTGTTAATAAATTCAAATTCAACTCATTATTGTTATTGTTAACTCATTATTGTTATTGTTATAATTTGAATGGGTATCACAGTAGAAAATATGTCCCCTGTTGAGGACTGCTCTTTAAATGCTCTGATAAATATGACAATGAACAGGTTAAAACATTTAATAGATGATTGCTGACATACGACAAACTTTGCGTCGTCTCATATACCCATTTTTATGTGTTGTGCGGCAAGATTTTTTTTCAATTTCTTGTCATCATTTTGATGATTTCAAGCTTCTAAGTACACACATATCTGTATGTACTCCACATTCTACACTGTTCAGTTCAGTGGCGTACGCAGGATTTTTTCAAGGGGGGGGGGGGGGTTAAAATCGGGCCCGAAAAATTTGCTCCCGAAAATTTGAAAATCGCGCCGGCCGAAAAGTCGCTCAGTGGGGGGGGGGGGGGGGTTAACCCCCCCCCCCCCCCCCCTGCGTACGCGCCTGGTTCAGTTGAAGTAAGTAATCGTAAGAGCTAGTAATGAGAGAAGATAAATTCGCACGTCGGAACTTCAACCAAAATAACAACAACAAAAAAGAATATATATCAAATGATTCAGCATTACATGTCATGAGAAAAGACAGGTATGGAAATAATGTATAGTTCTAAACATACCTGCATAATACTAATTTGATCATTATCATTTGTTTTTTGTTTTTTGGCCGACTCTGTCGGCAGCAAGCCAGGTCTGTGTTAAAAAAAACCCACGCGGGAAGGCCTTTCATTTAACTGCGAGGTGCAGCTGAATGTGTAAGATCATTAATGTAAATAAAAAACAGTAGAGGACCTAGGATAGAACCTTGTGGAACGCCATGTAATAGAAGAAAATTGGAGGAATTATTATTATAAACTACATAATTGAGATCTATCAGAAAGATTACTTTCAAACCAAGATGACTACTGAGCTGGGAGACATTGCCAGGCATAGCGCCAGGTGGAGGGGCATAAATAGAGACTTTATTTATTTTTTATTTTTTTTGGTGTACCGTGTATAAACCGGGCCCCCGACTTTGAATTTTTTTCGGCGGCAAAAAGTGCGGTTCATACACCGTTAATTATGGTAATTTTTTAATATATGTTTTTTGCTTCTATTATTATCACATTAAGAATATGAAGGCATTGGAAGAGCCATGCTTTTCAGGGAACGTTTTTCCCTGATGTTCTTCCACACCTGGTTAATAACAATGAAAACGCTCATAAATTATCTTTTAAAATCCGGTTCAACATAGGAAGTTAGTGTGAGGTTTACGTTTCCTTTGTTAAAAGGGGGCTTATATAGACCTGTGTTATGTTGTTAATAAATTCAAATTCAACTCATTATTGTTATTGTTATAATTGTTATTATATCCATAGTGACACCTAATCAGCTATGCTGGGCCGATTTAGTTTACAAGGAAGTCTGGAAACTGAGTTACAATCATTATGAAGATGAGGGTTACGACTTTAATATATATTATTAGTATAACCCAGCCTTTAAGTCATGAAGGATTTTAAATGAGTATTACCAAACGAAGTGCGGGCACAGAAGTAATGACTAATGTAATCATGTTAAGCGCATTCACAAGTAATTATGTTTATAAATTACTAAATAAATAAAGGTAAAGTAAAGATATCAACAACAAAAAGTGATATTCATGATGTTTCTTTATTCATTATTCAACCTTATATCGAGATAAGAGTCCATAATAAGACAAAAACGAATCAAATGAAAGCAACTTGATTCACAAACGAATGGCAATTCATTGTTTTGATGAATATATCCTATCCCTTGTGCGCAAATCGATTCTGATATTGCTGGTTTTATCGTTCTACTTCCACGATCAAATGGGATATCATAAGAAAAGATAAAGAGAATTCCTTCTAGTGATGTAAACAAATTTAGTTGTGCGTATCTAATGGGTATAACTCGAGGGAGTTTGGTTTCGTTCTTTTAGAACTAAAGAGATGATAGCAAAGAATTCCCCCCCCCCATAACTCGGGGCCTGACAAAATAATGTTAATACGCAATCATATTGCCTAAGGAAATAATGTTCTGATTAGGCTATATAATCTTTTAATAAGATGAGATCTAGTAAAATTACCATTAATTGCTAACGAAAGGAAGATGGTTAAATTACACTTATAACAGGAGATGATATATCTCTTGGTTCTATAACTACAAAAAAAGGTATATTCAATATTGAGTGCATGGCTTTCTCAAGAATCGTCAAGTATGTAATTTTGGTCTAATGTTTTGTCATTACCAGAGTATTTCAACTGGAAAATGTTTTTCACAATTTAGAGATAACAGGATTAGCAATTCAATTTAAAATTTCTGAACAATAGTTTACCTTCAAAGGAAAATTTGCTAAAATGCTCAGTGTTCTTAATGACAGCAAATGGAGACGGTGTAAGGAGGTTGAAATAACTTTTCATTTTTTATTACACTGTAAACTCGTACGAACATTTTGGAAATCCTTAAAGACTTTTATGTCACCTTTGCAAGATAAATAAATAAAATATATATATATATATATATATATATATATATAAGTAAAGAACTTCTAGTGATAGGCTATAAAGTGGACAATGTAACTTAATGTAACCATATGTTAAATATTATTTGCAACATAGCACAATAGACAGTACATCGAAATTATATAAAATGTACATTTAAAGGTTTTAAAAAAAAACGCAAATTCTTTATGGGTTGATTTCAAGTGAATGGTGAAATCATATCTGAAAAGTGTAATTAACTATACATTTAGAAAAGAAGATGACGTTCAAAAAATTGTATCAATGGTTGCTGTAAAACTTTGATTTTTTTTAAAAATTGTATGTATATATATACGTATATATATATATATATATATATATATATATGTTATTGCTAATAAATACCTCGAAAGAGGATGAGAAGGAAAACAAATCTTTGTACACTGTCGCTCATAAAGGTGAATTTTTTTTTTTAAATTCCAATTCATGGAATTATTTTAAAAATAATTTAAAAATGATAGATCTAGATAATAGTATACATTCTCAGATTTTATTGAATAATAATTTGCCAATGTGTGTTTTGCGTGACTGCTAAAGCATGTGTATGCTACTATGCTTATCAACTAGGGGACCTATGCACTTAAGTCATAAATGACAGTAATGAGGATTAACGCCCACAAAAGGGCACTATTATGGCACATCGACACGGATTTGATCCTGGGGCCTCACAGTTACGAGGCCATTGCTTTGTCACTGAACCATGACTGTACGCAGCGGGGGCTAGGGTAGGGGGCAGTTTCCATAAATTAAAAAAAAAACAGAAAATGCAATAAATTTTCAATAATTTATTGCATTTAACCCCGGTGCCTAACATTAAAAGAAATCTGTGTGCCCATGCCTTGAGCCATAATGCATAGCCGTCCAGAGGATTTTTTTTTATGTTGGGGACCGGGGTAAAATGCAATAAATTATTGAAAATTTATTGCATTTTCTGTTTGTTTTTTTATTTATGGAAACTGCCCCCTACCCTAGCCCCCGCTGCGTACAATCATGTTTCAGGGACAAAACAATGGCCTCGTAACTGTGAGGCCCCAGGATGAAAACCGTGTCGATGTGCTTTATTAGTGCCCTTTTGTGGGGCATTAATCCTCATTACTGTCATTTATGACGTGAGAGCGTAGGTCCCCTAGTTAATAAGCATAGTAGCATACACATGCTTTAGCAGTCTCGCAAAACACACATTGGCAAGTTATTATTCAATAAAATCTGAGAATGTATACTATTATCTATATCTATTATTTTTAAATAATTTTTTAATAATTCCATAAATTAGGGTAAAACTAAAATATTCCACCTTTATGAGCGACAGTGTAATATTCGCACCTTTAAATAGGTGATGGCCAAGGCTATTGAATTTGCCTTAGGTTGTTTTTCTTCGAAAGCCTTTGCGATCGGATTCACTGTAAGTGAATTAATACGAATCACAGATGTGAATAACAAATCTTCCCTCTGCAGTGCGTTTACAGATTGCAACATGACGAATAGTGAGCGGGTGGGGATCGGTGTATTTCAGGAACGGGGTTCGGTCGTGATCGTCGAAAACGTTGAGGGCTCCCTGCTCGTACGTGATGAGGATTGACATCGTTCTGTTGCTACTCAGTCCATACGATGGGTTGCGTTGCGAAGCTACCGTACATCCAGCCTTACAACGACCAATAAGACGATAAGATCCTCCAATATCTACGAGAACACAACAAGACAGATAAAATGAATGCGTGCTCTTGGCCAAGCATTAAACAAATATCGGTGTATCCAGATATTTATAAACAGATGGACAGGGGGCACAGTTGAGTCCTTTCAAGCCAATAACCAACATGTTCGTAAACGATTCCACCGCTATACGGGAACTGGCATTATGGCGGGGGCGGCGGCGGCTACACAGGTTTACTCGATGGATGAAATAAAAATCAAGAGGGCCATTGGTTAAGGGAGGGTATGGGTGTGTTTCAGCGTCTTCATTCCTTCATATTCCCGCTATCTTTTGATTTTCCTGGGTATTTTCGCCATTTAATTGGGGATCCTATGCCCCCTGTGAATCATAAGAAATTACTTATTTCGGCGGTAAATATACAACACTTCCAAAATCACATACCTCCATCGATTGAACTTTGTATCGAACAACTTACACAAAGGCGTTGGAACAGGTGTGGTAGGATGATTTTGGTGCCCTCCCTTCATTTTTTTTTTCAAATTCGGACAACCATCATTTGAGGAAAAGGTGGTATTGTTTATTTTTTATATAGGGTCCGTGGTCAAAATCCCATCAATATGCTATGACAGGATTACGTAATGCAACACACGAGACTGACATACCCGATCGAAGTCTCAAAATATTTGGTTGCTTAATTCATTCATTTTGTATGATTTATATTTAAATTTTTAATGAATCTAGAATTACACCATCATTTTGATCATCTTACATATGTAGTAAAGTGGTTCATCTGATCTCTGAGACGAATGGTATGTAGATCGTTCTGCCAGCGCAATAATGGTAGTGCCTACCGACCGAGTAGAAAACCGAATACTCAAATTCATGGATTTATCAGCTGGGACAGGCGGCAATTTCTCAAAAGGGTACCGCTTTCCAGTGATATAACATTGCGTTGTCCGGAGATGGATATCACCTAAAGAAATGGCATGATAGTGAATCGAGAATATCACCCACTCGCTCAATCAATCAATCAATCAATCAATCACCGTTATGTTGCCAACTTTTGTTGCCAACCTATGCATGAGTAATGCAGGCACGATTAAAAATTGCTGCTATACATGATTGATATATGAATGTAATTTATATTGATGTAATTACTGTATAATTGTAACTATACATGTTTAATTTATAATTGTAATTATGCATGATCGATATATATTTGTAATTGTAATGCATTATTGTTTGTATTTGTTTTATATGTAGTTGCCGCACATGTTGTTTTATACGTGGAAACGTATAAATCACCACTACGTTCACTATTGAAAGAGGGGCATGGGGGGGGGGGGTGTCCATCGTGACAGATTTTCAACTATAGAAGAAAGACAACCCGCACGTTAATCATTGTCTTAGTATTTAAAACTTCAAATCCTACCAGTTCCCTTCCTCCCCCCTTTTCTTCCCCAAAAAATATTTTGGGGTCGGGGGTGATATCCGCCCCCCTCCATTGTTTCCTCGCTTGTCCCTACTGAGGTCCATACCTGGATACGCCTTAGACTTGCCCATAAAAAACATGACTTTGATTACCTGTGAAGTTACCGCTCCGGGCAAGGGAACCATGACAGTCTCTGTCATCTAAAGGTGGCGTTGATGCTGTTGGGGGCACTGTAGATGGCTGAGCTTCATATGGTTGCGGTTTCTCCATCGCTGAAAAAAAGTAATCGTTATTTTTAAAAAAAATGAAGTGACAGGAACGACATTGGCAAAATGAGGGCGAAGCAAAGTATTACGTTTATATTGAACACAAAACAGGAAATACTCCCTTTAATGGTTCCCCGGCAGCCATTTATGCTCCAATGGCACTTGGATTAGAGCACTTTTTTCTGTGAAGAAAGTAAGTAACATGTTATCATAACTCTTTATTTTGTTTTTTCAGAATGTTCTCTAAGAAGTGCACTCGTATCCCCGAACAGGAAATTCTGGATCCGGCGCTGGAAGAAGACTCATATTTCATTTAAAGTATATTGATTGCTATACATCCAGCTCTTGACTAGGTAAATCTGTTGATTTATCCGACATTTCTGATTCTGTATTTACCGAGAACGCTGCAAATTTCGTGCTGTCTTCTGTTTCTTATTCCACACCCTTTTGGAATCCACGGTGCCTGGTCGTGCTCAGAAGCAATCATCGAGTCATTTCTAAGAAGACTTCTTCGACATCTGAGTTGAAAGAATCTCGTTGACGCATCTTCAAGTCTTTCGTGACATGACTGGGCATGTACACCTGTGGAGAGAGAGAGAGGGGGAGAGAGGGGGAGAGGGCATGGGGCGGGCATCGCGGTAAGAACTTGGGAAGAACAAACTATGGTGAAATGAGTAGAATACCGATTTTTTTTTTCTTGGCGGTTTTAGAGACAAATGCTGTTTAAAGAATCTTGCATCCTCCACCTGACTTTGATTTCATACTTGCAAAGTGGATATTAATGGCAATTATACTATCTAGAACTGTTAACATGTATACTAATACAATGAAAACAAAAAAGGAGGGGGGGGGGGGGGGAGGGGCTCTGAAAATATAATGCATACTTTTTTGCTTAACAGGGGTTAAGAGACTATTGGTCCAATAATGAGTTATTCCAATGAGTGCAAGTCAGACAAAAAGCTTCAATTTTTCTCTCCTGAAAGATAAGTATTTAACAGTTTAAATAACTTCATCTTGACTTTGTGTTTGTGTGTAATTGTTAGAGATTTCGCAAAAAGGAGGTCACTAGTTACCCCCTTTGAACATGAAGTGACACGTGGGTTTTCTGCTTGTTTTAAGATATTTTCGACAATTCTTTTGGCAAAATTTGGTTCAACACTTCAATTCAAAAGGTAATGGATAAAGGGATTCCTAATATTATAACAGCAGAGGTAAAGACCGTTCGATATTAAGCAGTTAATAAAACGGAGAGAGAAATAAGAATGATATATAGACGTACCTGGTAAACCGGTTCCAATTATCACAGTAAGCACGATTGGGTAGTAGATTCTGATCTAGAAAACAGATTGAACAAGAACTCAACATTTCAATCCGACAAAATGATATTCCGAACCCAAACAATACATTGCCCCAGAAGCCAGTCATAATTGTCATTATTTACTTCAATTTTTTTTTTTTTTTTTTTATTTATTGAGATCATAATCTATAATCATGTATTTTACTTTCTTTCTGTATATATCCTTCATGTATGTTGTTACTGCTCAAATTGGGGATATAGGCTTAACTTAGACAAAACTATTAATTAAAATCTAGATTTTCGGGGAGAGGCAATGTAGGGAAACTGTGCCTAGAGCCGTGTGTTATACAAAGACTGGACAAATAGATTAATACATGCTGAAATATTTAATCAATGAACAAGAATTTTTTAAGGTTATTTTGATCAAACAAGTTTTTTTTATCAAACATTAAATTCAATACAAAAATACGCTGATATTTAGATTTATTGATTAAAACAAGAAGACCTCACTTTTATCTCCTTGAAATAACATTATGCCCCAAAATACCGGTTATTAGAAAACTGTTCCGATGACAATATTGTTTCACAGTCAATACCCTACACTAGCCGACTTCCTAACCTCTACCCTTGACCAACAGTGATAGGCCTATCCAATAATCTAACCCTAACCCTATCCTAACCTTTAACCCGATTACAACCCTAACCCTAGCCCTATATCTCGGACGCATCAAATCTCGGATTAAATGTCGCCAGGTCATAAGGTGAATCGCCGGAATTTTCCTAATTTATAAAATCCACTTATTTTGTAGACGATAAAGGCTTCCTCATGAAAATACGTACATTGAAGAGACGCATCCTGACTTCAAGGATTAAGAATACCGAGTGAGGCACTAATAGAATCAATCGAAAAATTCTTAGAGATTGTGTCTAGGTGTGGGGTTGTGCGTGTGCGAATGTGTGTTTGACACGCCAGCATAATCGTGATTTTCTGTTCTTTAAAAAATATAAAATACAAAGGTAGAATATTTATGTTCACTTTAATTAGCCTAATAGCACTTGATTGAATTGTCCAATTTATTGGAAAGCCATTACATTTTATTGAGAAAAAGTTCAGCGACCAATGCCAGAGACGGAGGTAATAAGAAAATTTATGGAACAAGTTACGACTGTTTTCACGTTCCCATAGAAATAAGAGCTCTCCTCTTTTGAAACGCTCGTTTCATTTTCACCCATAAAGTACAAAACAAGGGGCGTGCGCTGGCTCCATCTAGTGCTGAATTCGTCACTGACATTAAACTTTAATGCGTTGGCCTTTTCTTCTGATAAATAAAATCAAGTGAAATCGATCTTAGATTGTCAGCATGAAATACACCCACACACACACACACACACACACACACACGCACGCACACACGCACGCACACACACCACTTCGAAAGCTACACTCAACAGTGGTAGCATATATAGACCAATAGCTGCAAATGTCTTTGACATTTAAATTCGGCCCGAGTAAGTCCGCGAGACGTACAGTTCCTTTTTACATGAACAGCCATAATTACACCTGTGTGGTAGACACACAATCAAAACTGGTTTTCGTATATGTTCTGACTGTATTGCTCCCATCTTGTCCACGCATGAGTCTTACCTGTTAATTATGCAGCGGAGTCCTCCCGGAAACTGTACACACAGACGAACAAGTACACATATAAAATATGATATGTCAAGCGTTTATTACTAGTCGGTATACCAACAGTTCGACAGCAAAATCAGCGAAACGCTCGAAATCTTGTAAAATGTCACAACAGGATTGATGAGTAGTCGAGTATAACATAAGAAAATGTCCTAACAATATTTTGGGCACATTGTTAGGAGATCTAAAGGCGTTGATAATGATAAGCAAGTACTGCAAGGAGCAGTCGAAGAAAAACGGGGTAGAGGTCGTCCACCAATATCTTGGACTGATGATATCAAGAAATTGTCTGGACAAGGAATGAAAGGTGCAACACAAATGGAAGGTGAAAGAGTTGCGTGCTCTCGTGAAGACCACAGCAGCGCTTTACAGCGCCACCTGAAGTTGATGATGATGATGAACACCATGAGCAGAGGGACCGAAAGTGGAAAGACATTCAGGGGCTTAGGGCATATATACTTGTACCCGATTATAGAATGTTCATAATATGCAGTTTCTCACACCAAGTAGAGAAGAGCGTTTAAAGAGAAGGTTAAGTTCTGGGAAGAGGTAAAAAATAATTTGTGAGCGTTATCATTGTTATTATGCAAGGGTGGAAGAACATCAGATTAAACATGTTCCCTGAAAAGCATGGCTCTTCAAATGCCTTCATATTCTAAATATGACATGAAAAATCGCAAAAATCGGGGGGTAGGTTTTTTTTCGCCATGTGCTCGTGTAGTCCCATATACATCATTCTGTGTACAGTGCTTATAACTTTGCCAGGATTTGGCCAAATTTCTTATTATTTTGATGATTCCAGAACCTTGCAATACACACAAAAACTTATATACTAGATGATCAACCTTTTCTGATAGATTCCACACCGTTTCTTTCACAATGCAATCACAAGACCAGACCTCAACTTTATCTTTAACGTGTTTTCAGTTGAAGGGCGATCCAGGCCACCTTTTCACGAAACAGTCATAGGTACAAGTTCACCGACATTCCATTGCATCACGGGTTAAATTTAATACACGCAATTAAATGGAATTTCGGTGAACTTGTACTTATGACGGTTCAATGAAACGCTCACTGCTATATAATTCTAAGAACAATTATTAATAACAACTTCAAGCGTTGAAGCAATGAAATTGGTAGAGAGAAAACACAAAAAGGCACTGTTTGATTGTCAAGAGAAAAGGTTAAGTGAAAAACTGTCAAAAAAGGCAAGAAATTGAGGAATTATAATCCAACAAAAGGTTAAACGTCAGGAAAGGGGAAACGTCATTGCATGTATACGAATACAGTTAGTAATCTACAGTACAATAGTTTTACTGTTATTGCCAAGTCGTGCTCATCTCAATATTTGCTCATTTCGGTCAGAACAATTTGGGTGTGTGTATAAGAATATTATAAATAAATCGTGGCACAAAAGTACTTCGTTTGTGTTCGCACTTTGTTAACCCCATCCATCTTATATGTTAAACTCAAGTACCTACACTTCACCTCTGTCTGGGTAGTCCTAGCTTTGTTTAATTTTAAAGGTGGGAGAAAAAAACCTCTGTCACAAAGTATAGCAAGCGTTGGCTTCAGAAATGGAGCGTTTTATTTTCAAATAGTCGCAGTTATTGAGAGTATATCAGAGTTGAAGAGGGGCAGTAATTGACTGTGATTTTAAATTGTTGCTTTGAATCTTATATCGCGTTAATCTTGCGAATCTAATATCTGGAGAAATCAAGAAGTTCTACAAACTTTGATATATTGTCAAGTAGATGGATACGCACAAAATAAAAATGGAGTCTGAATTGTGGGGGTGCGAAAATTTTCTCTGTTTGAGGAAAAGGGACTAGGAAGCGAGTATGGCGAAAGGGGGTGATATATAGAGAGAAATGGTTACAGCGCGAGTAAGAGAAACGAAGATAGATGAGAGGAGAGAAGGAAACGAGGAAGAGAGAGAGAGGGGGGGGGGTAGAACAAGAGAGGGAGAATAGAGACACAGGGAGGGAGAAGGGGGCTGGGTTGGAGCCAGGTACAACGAGATTTGAGTGAAAAGCACAAACTGAGAGAGAAAGAAACGTGGATATATAGAGACTAAGAAAGAAAGGAGAGAAGAGAGACAATGAGATATATAGAAAGAGAGAGAGAGAGGGGGAGCGGGAGAGGAGAGAGAGAGAGAGAGAGAGAGAGAGAGAGGTCGGAGGGGAGAAGGGGGAGAGGGAGAGAGGGAGAGAGAGAGATGATTTTTTTTTTTAATCCAGTGACAGACATCTTGACATGAACATCAACATGATGAAGGCCGGGGACAGGTCTACGTAATTAGTGCGTTGATTTTGATCTGCCGTTGATTACACTGTCTATAGGAATAATCACTGTCAATATCTTATTGACTCATCCTGCACACGCCCTAGTTTGCAAGCAAACATCGGATCATCTGATTGTTATTAAAGGGAAAGTCCACCCCCAAAATAAGTTTGTTTCGATAGAGGCAGAATAATAAGAAAATCAGGTGAGTGAAAGTTTGAGCAAATTCTGAATGAAAATAAGAAAGTTATGAATTATTGAAATTGTGATCAATCAAATACAAATTGGCAACTCTGTGACTTATTATACGAGCTCTCCTTCATTTGCTTTGTGCATAATATTCCATTAAATCTTCGTTATTGATGACGGAATATATATTTGTTCCTTGCAGGGGGAGTATAGAAACATATTTGCAATTATTATATTTAGGGTGCATGTATGGTTGAAATTTTTCTTGAGGGAAACTGAAAATTTTAGATTTTTTTAGTACTGAGCAAATGGAAGTTGAGCTCGCATGATACGTCATAGAGTTGCCAATTTGTGTTTGATTGATCACAACTTCAAAAATCCTAACTTCTTTATTTTTAATCGGAATTTGCTCAAACTTTCACTGACTTGTTTCTCTCATTTTTCTACTCCTATTAAACTAACTTAATTTCAGGGTGGACTTCCCCTTTAAATAGCTAAAGTTCACACGTTGAAATCAACTCAGGCTGTTGAATAGTATACAAATAATACACAGCAGTGAGGGCTTTGGAACAGTCTAACACGCCCGAGGCGACAGCCGAGGGTGTTTGGACTGTTTTGAAGGTACCGAGTGTGGGTAATTTTACCACTGCCCTAACAAAATGATGTGTATTATTTGTTTTTATTAGAGTATGTTTTATTTGTTTTTTATAAAATGATGTTTTATAACATTTTTTTATAATGACCGGTCATTATCCAAATTACGCGTTAGTAAAAATAAATGCCTGGTCACGTGTACGCTTTCAATCAATCATTTGATCAGGATCCACGTCATCATCTTATAACATGTAATAACTAATATGATGTTGTGAGAAATAAATTCAGTTATTAATAGGCGTATACATTTGAAATATCTTGTATAGATTTAATCGTTAAAAGTCGTGGGTT